AAAAACGCTTTATTGAACATATCAACAGCAGTATATGCACAATTTAAGGCAGATGTTCAAAGTGTCCGCAGCGCATGTCGAGGCAGGCTTGAGCACGCCGTGGAATGGCTGTCATCACACTTCGCAGCACCGCGGGGTCTACCGAAGTACAAGCAGAAATGCAGACGAGCAGCTAAGTCCATTTGTGTTGTCACTATGTCTCAATACACCAGTTACTTGAGATGGCCCCATAGGAAAAAAAATCCAACGATGTAAGATCTGGTAAATGTGGCGGCCATAGAACAGGACCCTAACGTCCAATCCAACGACCGTGGTATGCGATATCCAGCCAATCACGTACAGGAGCACAGAAATGCACCGGAGCCCATCATGCTGGAACCAAATTCCCTGTATTGCCGCTAATGGTATGTCATCGAGGAACTCTGTTAAGACCTCATTGAGAAACACCAAATACGACTGTCCTGAGAGCTGTTCAGGCAACAGATATGGTCCAAGCAGGTGATCCCCGAGTATGCCGGCCCACACGTTAAGACACCAACGTTCCTGATGTTTCTGCGGCCGGATTGCATGCGGAGGGACCTAAGACCATATATGGTTGTTGTGAAGGTTGAATACCCCATCACGAGTGAAACATGCTTCATCAGTCCACAGGATATGTGCAATGAAACCATTATTTGTGTTCTGTTGCAGCAACAGCCATTCACAGTAGGCCATGCATTTCTGACAGTCATCTGGTTTCAGACCTTGCACGGTTGTGCACCGAAATGGGTATAGCCTCTCAGACCGTTAAAGCCTGTGCACAGTACTTTTAGTCGAAGTCATGTCACGGACTAGTGCGCGTGTGCTTACCTCGGGCGTCTCTTCTACCCGGTGCAGTATTGCATCCGCCTGTGCTACCGTCAGGCCACTCTGCGGTATTCCAGTATCGTGGAGATTGGTTGTTGGCCAGACGCTTCCCGTATTTCGCAGTCTGTCATCCAGCCTACGAATGCATTGACATCGAGAGGATGGTGGGACGGATATCGACGAGAATACTCCCTAGCAGTTCGTAAGGCATTTCCATTACATCGGCCGTACATCAAGTACATGCCGCAGTAGTCACGAACGGAATACATGGCCACCATAGGAAGCTGCAAGATGCAGCCTTTTAAAAATCAGTTCAACGGCGGCTTAACGTCATTCCACGGATATAAGTGGATGACGCGATATGCGCGGCGAACATTTTAAACACAATCATCTGGAAAGATATGCAAATACTGTTATTGATATGTCCAATAAAATGTTTTTTCTTGCACCGGAAGTGGTGTCATACTTTGTTTTTCGTATTTTTCTCGTAAACTATGGATCGTACAAGAACGCTTCTTTGGGCAGTTTTTATGTACCCCCAACGAGGAATCTAGCTGTGCAGAGTTTATGCGGTCGTTTTGGGACACCCTGTATAATTTACTGTAAATATGATGGGGAAAAAATGTTTAGTTTCTTACTTAATACCATTTCTATTTCAGGTTTTTCTTTTAAATTTGAATCAATAAAATATTCCAATGTTGTTAAATGTGAAGTGTGTTAGGCGTTAAAAGATTAAATCAAATGTGGGGAATTCGGGATTGTGGGTTCAATGAAGTCTCCTTTAGAGTAGCAATTATTTATTAATTTAAATTAAACTACGCAAAGACAATGCATATCATAAACAAACATAATGGGCGAAGAACATGGACGAATTTTCATAGTGACCATATTATTTCGTCACGTGACTTTTACTGATCAGTAGCCGCTAGAGGGCGTCTGTGCTGTTTGGGACAGTTATGACAAAAAGGGTTACAAAAGTTAATTACGTTTTCAAGAAAATTTTTAAAAAATACATTGTTTGCTATATCAACGATAAAAATAAAGATTTTAATTTATTAATTCTGCATATTTTTTTGTTGTTGAATAGAATGATTCGTCGTTGAGCGTAGTGTGGCATTGATGAGAATGGCGAATTTTAATACAGCTAGTTGTATCGAAATACATAGATTCTAGTTAGAGAAACAATCATGTTTATAATTAAATTTGTGACCTAATTAGTCGGAACACTACATACTTATTGACTAATTGAAATTATCAAGGCTTAATATTAACTGTTGTATATTGGGCGTTGACTCATTCCTAGAGTAAACTGTAATTTACCCCTACTGTGTTTCTCTTAATTAATTACAGCATATAATAATTTAGCACATGACAATTGTTCCAAATTAAATTAGTTTACGTAAGTATTAAGAAAATTATACAATTATTCTAAACTCATTAATACTTATTTTGTGGTTTAAGTTTTACTTATTTTCCATTAAATTTGCAGTGAATGTACTTATATTGCAGTGTATGAACATATTATAATTTTTTTTAATGTTAAAAATAATTAAGTGAAGTTTATTTGTTTTTGTATTTTATCATTTATTTAAGCAAGAATAAACAGCAAAGTCTGTATTATCAAAGGTTGTTCAGCCAGCGATTATGTACAGATCTGAAATTCATTACGAGATAAAATATAACAAAATCTAGAGCTTGAAAATCTAGAATCAAATATAATATGATTTATTGAAAATTATTACTAATTGATTTGTATGAAAACGTTTTTAATAAAAAGCCTATATGCATTTTATTTTTAGTTAAAGAACGTATGAAATCCTTATACGATATATTTTGTTTTATACTCCGTATATTTCCGTGTATAAACCGAGAATTTTGAAGCTTTTCTTAAACTGAAAGTAAAAGAGACAGCTTATATGCGGATTCCACTAGCTTAAAAAATGGTTTGTATAATATTGTTCCTAATGTCATCTGTCTGACGATGTCTAATCGAGGCCCGTGAAATTCATCGCGGCAAAGCGCTAGACGTACGCCTGTCGTTAGCCGTAGCATTGAGCACCATACAGGTGACAGTACGTTTTGACTCGGTTCCACCCCAATTTTGAGGGAGAAGACCAAAGGGGTGGTCAGGGCCCATATCTCTTCCCCTTTCACCAACCTCGCGAGAGGACTTGCGGCTCGACATCTATTTAGAGCACCCCATCCCGCAAAGGCACTATACATTTACAGACACCCATGCCTTCTCCGGGATTCAACCCAGTCCCCACGGCACAGCAGTCAGCGTCACTAACCACTATACAGGATGGGTGACTGGTTTGTATAATATTTTCCGTTAGGCCTACATTTTAATACACCATACATTTTATTAACTTTATGTTGAAATACCATGAACTCATTGAATGTTCCGAAATTTGAAGGCAGTAACATGTGATAAACTAATAAGTGCATTACAACTACTGAAATTTATTTAACTATTGAGAAATTTCTTTTTTGTATGTGTGTTCTGGCATTGATTCCTTAGGTTTAGGCGACTAACATCAGGCTAAGACATGCTAAAAATATTTACTGTAAATTTTAAAGCTGCACAATTACCTCTTCGAATATAAATAGAGCTAAAAATTCTATTGGCATTTGAATTTTATTTTGGTATGCAATGAACAGTTTGTTTCTTCATACATCTCTATTCGGCAATTTCAGACAACATGCCTTCAGAGTCTCAAATCTTAAAAGGGTACTTGAACAACATTCGCTTCGTTACAAAGACTTCCGAATTAGAAAATACTTCCTAATCCAATTAAGAGAAACAGCAAATGTTTCCTACATCGTCTCTTCGCAAACACTGTTAATTAAATTGCTTTGAATACACGGGAAAGCGTTTAATCACTTCTTTTTTCAGTCAGAAAACGACGTTTCAATGAAGAAACGAGTTCTTGTACAACTAATCAATAAGGCGTTTAATTACTGAAGATGTTGTCTTTATTTGATGGTTGTAACCTAATGGAGGAAATTGTCACTTGCATGTTTTACGTTTGTTTGTTGAGATAAAAGAAATTTCTAGACTTAAAGTTGAATTCAATTTTAAACGATATTGATAAACGTTTATTATAAGATTTCATATTGTAAGGAAATATCATTTAAACTTAAGAGGGCTTTGGCCTTCTGGTTGGTAAAATAACCAAGTAGTAATTTATGGTAGCAGAGCTTCGTGAGTTCTACTTCCAAAGACTGATTAGCATTTAGGCATCCGACTACGTTAAAATTAGGAATTTTTCCAAAAACTGACAAGTTTTTTATGGTTTTATTTTATATAGGCCATCTTATTATCTTTATAAATATACCAACTTTATTATTTTCCGTTCACTAGAACAAAAACTACAAGTGTTTTAGTAAAAGCAGATGCCATGACATTAAGCAAAATATGTCATACTTTAAAATGTGTTTTACCCGAAATATGTTTTTTAAATGCTCCAAAAGGGGGCAGCGATTGCTCAAAAAGTTTTGAAAATAACTAACTGAAATTTTTTGTGTATGTTCTGTACAATAGTAGAAGTGTTTTAACCTTCAGTCAAAGGTTTTTTTATGTTAAGTGGGTCTTTGAAATACGTTCACAATACAAACTTTGAATATTTGTAGCCTATACAGTTTTCCAACTATTATTTCCTTTACCTACGATTTTCTTGATCAAAGGTCCACGATCTTTTGAAATCTATGAAATGGCTTTAAGGTATCTAAAAACTTGCATGAACAAAAAAAAAGCAAAGAAAACCCTCCTTTAGAATGTCAGTGACTTAAAAATCGTAATGTAAGGGCAATATCTGTTTTCGAGAATAAATTCAGCTATTATATCTTATTATTTTAAAATAAAATGCAACGGCCTTTAATAAATACAGTATTTAATAAAGAAAGTTTTAATTGAATTTTTGCATATGCATTAAATTCCTTTAGGAATTATAATAATTCATTTTACCAATATTATATTGTTTATGCCAGTGCATACAGATTATATACAGATGACGAGGAGTGAGAGATTCTTTTCGTCGAGCGATAAAGCAACACGAGAGCTATTGGCAATGAACCTCGTAATTTTGAAACAGGGTCAAGTGACGAAGATGACACCTGAATTTTTTGGTACACCCTTTCCGAACTTCACACCACGTCATAGGGAGGACTTTGAGCCTCGACAGATTTCTCTTGTCCTCTACACGGCGGGACTTCAGTGGAACTGAAACTCGAATTCACAACGTGCAGGCCACGAGTCTGTAACCATGACCACTAGGCCACCACATGGCGACTACATGTAGACCAGTGCTTCTCAAACTTTCAATATTTGTGATCCAATATTCTATCATGATTTTCATCGTGCCCCCCCCCCTTCAATACAATAACAATGTATTGAATTCAATAATACCATATTTTGACGCCAAAGCTACAAAATGACCTTAACCATTTAAGGGCCACCGGCATATATAAACGTCTCACTCAGACAAAGCGTAAACTGCCCGGACGTATATATACGTCTATCCGAGGTATGATCTTTTCTGCTGATCTTTTCTGCTACCCATAAAATTATTCTGAAGGCTTTGGAATGCAATAAAAGGACCTTGACAGTGTTTGCGAAAGATTTACTTATTTCAGATTACTTGTTTATTTATTCCTTGTCTTCCCCCCCCCCCAGTACATCCCATACCCTCGCTCTACGTTGAAAATGGTGGCATGGGGAAACGAATCGCGTAACTTTTAATCGGCAATTAGGAGATTAATTATAAACATACAAACTATCAAGATGTCTTAACTTCTGTAAATAATTTTATATAGGACAAATTAATGGGGTCACTGGAAAGATTAAACTTGTTCTTAACTTTTTATTGTTAAATTAATTATAAAATACATTGGGTAGTACCGATACGTTTATAAGTGTATTATATAAGTACAAATGTGTATTTTATTTTTATTATATCAGAATGTATTTTGTTTGTTTACTTTCAGTAAACTAATGTTTTTCTTAAATAACCTTTTGTTTTAGACTTTTAATTATTCTCGCCACTTGACCATGGTTCAAAATTACGCGGACCGCCCCCAAAAGCCCTCGTGTAGCTGAACAGTGTGACGTTAATATTCACTCACTGTGACGTAGAAGAAACAGCGTTAGAGGAAGAACAAACTAGTCTCTCCTCAAATTTTGACTGGCAGGAGTTACGAAGAGTAGATTAGAGTTTTATTTCACTTCGTTGTAAAATATTATTTTGGAAGGAGTTTTGAGAATCCTCGTTTGTGTGTTGTTTCCACCCAACAGATCTTTTCGCATTTAGTTTTATGTTGTTTAACTAATGTTATTCAGCTCGTTGCTCGCTCGCTCTCTCAATGCACCTGTGTTCTTTAACTTCGTCGTCAAGTGCATGCTAAAATGTATTCGTTTATTTTTTTAGCAATACATTGTGAATATTTAGCACAATTATTTTGAGAATCTTGTTCTTTTAATATTTTCAGAAACGCATCGCTTAGCCAATTTAACTTAAATTTTATGCAATCGTACAATGGAGTTTTATACAGTCGTAAAATTCCTATAATACATCTCGTTTCATTTTTAATTATAATCACCGTATTGCTATCAATTACAAATGTAAATTTCACCTTCTCAAAATAATTATGTAATTTTCTTCCCCTTTTATTCTTGAACTTGTGTTAAAAAAAACACAGCTCCCTTTAGAAATCTCCCAAAAATAAATCAAAAAGAACACATTTCATCTATTTTATCATCAGAAGTGTTAAACAAGAATCAAGAAAAGTTTTCATAAATATTGAGTTATTCCACTGTAGTTAATTTCATCTCACAGTTACTTTAGTAAGATTTTGAAAAAAAATTGAACTTCGTATTTTTTAGGTATTTTTGGGAGGAAAAAACTTCAACCCTTTTTTAGTGAGTGAATAAGCGTTACAGTAACGTAACACTATAAGACAACTCGAGGGCTGTTGGTGACTGACCTCGTAATTTTGAGCTTCAATCAAGTGACGAGGACGACATCTGAGTTGGCACCCCTCTCTCCAATCTACTAAACCACCCCAACGAGAGACGTCTGAGCTTGACAGATTTAACATGTATCAACCCCCTTTACACGACGGGTCATCAATGGCACAAGGACTCGAACCTGTGGCCACAATTTTTACGTTGAATTTTTGTTGGTATAGAGTGTAATTTTATAAAGTGAGGTGACAACTCAGGTGTCGTCCTCATCACTCAGCAAGGCTCAAAATTACGAGGTCCGTTGCCAATAGTCCTGGTATGCATTGAAATGTGTGCGGCTTTAGTAAATAGTCAATCAGTTACATTAACCGTTAATTCGCATTTTATTTTTAGTTTTCCAAGTACCGAATACTAAATAAAATATAGTTTAAAAAACTAAAAACGACGCTTTTTTAGTTAATCGAACTAAAAAGTAAAAAAGAAAAATTAGGCAATTGTTAAAATTATATTAAGAAATTGCGACTCCCCTTTTTCACATAAAGAACACTTTTTGTTTGTTGTATTTGTATTAACCATGCTTTTTCGCTTTAGGGTTGTAACTTAATCTTTTAGTCGCCAAATCTGAAAAAGGGAAATCGTTGATCCTGATTAGGATAATGGAACAAAATTTATTAAATTATTGTATTGTCATCGGTCCTTGACAAGTGTGCAAAATTTCGAATTAATCTGACCTTTTAAAGTGGGTAAGAATATCGAGTTCAAAGATTCCGTTACATACAGATGAAGCTAATAAAAGCGTGTTAAAAATAGAATTTCATGAAATAAAGGAATTTGCATTTATGCAGAGAGATTTATGTACAGAATATAGAGAGAGGAAATTTATATGTGGAGAATATAGAGAGAGAATTTATATAGAAAGAAATTGTACATCAGGATATTGATAACCACACATGAAATGATTAAAGCTGTTTTCGCTAAATGTACGAGATCGTGAACTCAACGCGGAGAAAATTTTCGGAGAGAAAAAATGCCTCAATTTTTATAAACATTTCAAATTATTTCATAAATAATTAGTTTTTTTAACATGTAAAGGGATAGCTCGTTTAGCATTACGGTATTGGAGAAAAAAATGCGAAACACATTTTATAAAAGAAAAAAAATGTCAAACTCGGATAAAAATAAGTGATTCTCTACAGGATAGTGAAGCCAGAATGTATATTAATGTTGGAAACTTTTATATCTGAAACAATATTCTGAATTTGGTCCGTATTCTTTAACAATAGCCCAAGACAGCCTTAAACATGAATAATATTGAAATAGACATAGTGTTCAATTTAAAAAAAAGATTGTTAAATATAATATCCAAACTTTTAATTTTACATTCTAATATATTTTCAGTTTTAAAATTTAAGAACATTTTTGTCATCCTATAACTTGAGAAATCCTATGCTTAAGTAAAAATATCTATTTTTTTTTTATTAAAAAATATAATAATAATAAATTGCAAAATTTTTAACACTATTAATTGACAGCTCCTTGAACTAAAACTTTCTCATAAAAATAAAATCGGAATGAAATATAGTAAGCGTAAGTTCAAATACAAAACTTAGATTTTTCAGCTCGTATATTCGAAAAAGGAGAGCACTCTCACAATATTCAGCTGAAAAATTTATTAGCATTTTATCCTCTTCTGTTCAAGATCAAGGTGTCAGAAAGGGATGTTTATTGATCATCAACATTCCAGTACCTTACTTCGTAATATTTTTCGCATTTCACATCACACTCCCCACGTGTTAAGGCGCAGGCGACTTATTGAAAAACTTGTTCGGGAAAAGTTCTCGCAAGAATAAATAAGAGGTCGTCAGCGTGTTTTTCCTCAAACGAGAGGTTTTTGTGCTCCCCGAAGTAACATAGAACGCTCTCCCTCATTTATTTCTAGGGCACAAAATTACAATGTAGATGAAAAACTAGACCCATAGGGCATAGCTGGAAACCGAAAAATTGCCCCCTCAAAACCATTACAGAGTTACTTTTTCCTCGTATCAGAAACGATGCCATCAACTGATGTACCGAAGGTAAAAACATGTGATCGATTCTACTAAATGAAAAGTGCTTTGCACCCCCTAGGAGACCGATAGAAGACAAGGGGTGAACTTTTTTCCTTTTTTTTTCCAGCGGAAGAAAACGTTTCTCTATTTTTTGGCTTCCCTCTTTTAAGTTTTTTCGGATTCTCTCAACGGAATATACGAGTTTGCCACATGTTGCCAGCGCTGTAATGGTCGAAAAGCATCAGCTGTTGACTCGGCTGCCTCATCAACGGATGCCATGGTAACGGAGATGCGCGTTAAGAGTCCCATTTTGGAACATTTATCACTCTTTCGAGTGAAACTTAATTATAGAATCTGTGAATTTAAACAAAAGAAAATATGTGTAGATTAGTGATCTTCAACCTCTTTTTCTCAATTCCTACTATTAGTTCACTCTCTCCCTATATATATTATATATATATATATATATATATATCCTGTTCAAATTTTCAATCGTTTATCAAATACTTTCTATTCACCATTCAAGTTCAACCATTTTTTTTTAACTTATAGTGGATGACACTTCATGTTAATACAGTTTTTTTTTCAAATATTAATTCATTAATTACATTAAAAAATGAATAAATAGTAACCAACAATAATTATAGTCCAACAGCATATATAGAAAGGAAAATCGTTTGATACGTCCCTGCAGCGCAATGGACTTCCAATCCAAATGTCGTGGGTTCGAATCTCACCTGGGATGACCTAATTTCTAAGAATGTGATTTCTTTTTTACTGTGCTATTATTAGAATAATTAAATTTAATAATGAATAAACAGTAACAAAAAAAGAAATAGTCCAACACCATACATAGAAAGGGAAATGGAAAAAATGCAAGGAAAATCACATTCTGTTTTGTCACTTAATATTGTGATTCAGTCATATGTATACATATTTATATTAATGGTAACTATTTAATAAAAAGTAACTAAAAAATAAAATTTTTCTTCGTTGACCTAAGTAGAAATTGACTTAAAAGTTTTTTTTATATTACTTTTTTCTGTTTCCAATAACAAAGATGTATCTGTGATTTGTATGCATGTGTTTTAAAACTACAAAATAAATATCTAAAACTCTCTAAAGGAAAACAGATCAAAAGCTTTAAATTCCTCACATTTTTTAATCAAGTATTCAAAGTGGCTTTATCTCTCATGTATATAATACAGTAAAAGACATTTGTAATGTAAAATATCAGAAATTCAAGAAATCTTTTCTATTTTACTTTGTACTAAAAAAA